GGGAGGAAGAAGAGGAAGAAGAAGAAGAAGAAGAAATGGCCCATGAAATGATTTGTAAAAACGTTACCATTTCTACTCCTTTTCTTTCCCTACTTCAAAAGCTTTAAGGGCTTCTTTGTCTGAAACACTGCCTTCCATACACTCCAGTGGATTTTCTGTTATTCCTCTGAGAGGAGGTTGCTGCCCAAACATCTTTTAATAGATGGGCAGGCTGCTGTCAGGATGAGGAGATGCAAGCCTGGTGCCTCGTGCCCACCCCACATGCTGGAGGTAAGCAGCCCGAAGCCCATCTTTCTTTGTGCACAGAAGCTGAGCCCTCAGCTGGCCCAGGAGAAGTGTGAAAAGGCAGAGCTGGGCCTCACCGCTTTGGTTCGCTCCCTCAGGCCGTTGTCTTCATAGTGCGGGTGGTTGGTTAAGGTCCTTCCGGTGCACAGCTTGACTCCGGCCAGCAGCTGCATGCTTCCCGCGAACACTGCCTTTCTTGGGGTGTTAGAGCTAAAAGATTTTAAGAGTCTGAATCAACCCCACTGCTAAGACATCCTCAAAGACATTCAAGAAGACAACATCACACCTCCAAAATTATCCAACTATGTTAAGAAGTGTTAAGAGAGAGGAATTAAGAACAGAGCAAAACCAGACCAGACCAGACCAAACCAGACCAAACTGGGATAAGGCAGTGATGGTGAACCTTTTAGAGGCAGAGTGCCCAGAATGCTCTTGATGTCATTACCTGGCACCACTACTCCTTTTTGACTCTAAAATTTCTAGGCTAAAATTCACAATTTTCTCTTGCATTCATCCTAAAGAGGAAAGAGTAACAGAAAGAACTCAAAAGACTGCCTCTGCTTTTTGTACTAAACTTCGCTAAAGTGCTGGCTAGATAAAAGTAACAGGTGATTATAAATCATTTCCAAAGATCTCTGTTTAAAATAAAGCAAAAAAAAAAAAAACAAGATATTACTATAAATTAAGAAAAAAACATAATAAAAACAGAAAATGGGGAGAAGATTCTGAAATAGTTAATATCTTATATTCAATGTGGGGATGTACCCTATTTCTGGCAGGGGAACATTCCTTCTCCTTGGTCCTGATTGGGGAAAATAAGCATTTTCAGGTTTAGGAACACAAGGCACCCCAACAGTAACCACATCTCACTTTCTGATTACTGCCAGTCTATGATTCTCTGCCTCTCCGGGGGTCTGAGGGACAATGATGGAGGACCAAGGAAAGAGTCAAAGAACGGGCTGGCAAAAAAGGAGTCAGTAGCTAATTTAATTTCCTTCTGTCTTCTGGAAACCTGGAAGGTGCAAACTGGTGAGGTGTTATTTTACCATATACTCTCCCCAACGCAGAATTTCCCATACAGGCCTGTTAGGAGCACTGCAAGGTACGTTTATCCTTTCTCCATTAAGAAAGAGGAGTCCGCGTTTGCTGCACTGAGCTACAAGGATGGAGACAGTTTGGAGGAGTCTAGTTAAAATCATTAAAACTCCACAACCTCTGCAGAAAAAGCTATAGCAGGCTGCTCACAATGTTTTTGGAGAGCAGGGCATGAAGCTTTCTGATGCTGAGGTTTCTAAGAGAAGCCCTCATCATATTCATGTATCCCACTAGGATGTGCTATTTATTCCAACCCAATGCCAAGACTGCAGCATGAATGCCATCCAACCACGGCCTTCAGATGTCTATAAGCAAGACATTCTACTATTCAAATGATGACATTTACAAATAATTTGCTTTTGAAAAATTCAAGATCTTCTTTCTAACGATGACACTCATTCGCTTGCATTCCAATAAGCCTTCTTAAGTGAGGGAAAAAAGTGGATGGAATTACAATGAGCACACAAGGAATAACACATAATCTGCCTTCTTCTGCACCCATGCCAGAGTTTAGAATGTGGATTCCAACAGAAAGAAGTTTTACGTGAGCTTGGCTGTCCCTGATGAGTTGTTATCATTCTGACAACCAGACCCAGGAACACAAGAACAGATAGATGCTTGATCTGTCAACCTATGGACACAACAGGGGATGTCTGACATTTGTCTCATGTGGTCGGAGGAATAGAAGAGTTCAATACGTTCACGATGAGGCCATAATTCATATGTCTTGGTGCTGGGTGGCTTGCACTACTAGTGGTTCATGCATGACTGTATCACTTGTATGATCAGCACTACAAGCCACCAGATGGGCCAGTCATGCGTGTACACTGGTTCAGTTAAAACCTAGTAACTTATTCTTTGCCTTGTATACAATGCTACTCTCATTCACAGTATATCACCATAATCGCTAAAGAGAATAAATATGAACAAATATGAATTAAAGAAAGTGCCATCATTTTTCTAAGCCAATTTTCTTTCCTTTAGTAAACTTTCAAATGGCACACGCCATTACACTTCAATAAATCACACAATAACATCACATATTAATGCCAAAAAGTAGCTGTCTTTGAAGTGACAGATTTCACTGCAGGAAGAAAGGAGTCTGGTCTCCACGTCTGGCAGAGCATGAGGTAGATACAAATGATCCTGGCTGGCATGGTCTTACTGCCTGAAGATGCCAAACTGGGCTTTCTACACAAAAGACAGCCGCTGAGCTTCCAACATCTATTCAAACCACAAGCCTGTCTTAGCATCCCAGTTTTGAATACATAACAGGGACAGGCACAAAGAAGATGCACAGAGCTGTTCACAGTGTGCATCGTATAATTATGGCAGAGACACAAGATGAACCTTGTTATCTATTCACAACTGTCGGCCAAGATTTCAGCCTGCTTCCCAGACTCTAAGTGTAATACTCCGATGAAGTACAAAGGTTTAGATGTCAAGAGTCTTAGACTGCTTGTGTGTGGGGGGGTTATAAAGTCATTCTTTATTTATTCAAAATGTATCCCTGAGGGTCTACCACACGTTGGGCTGGTAAACATGGTATGATAACCTGTTTTTTTTTCTGAGTTTATTATTTATTCAACCATTATTGAAGTAACAATAACATATTTTTTTTGGCACTGGGGATCTAACTTGCAACCTTGTGCTTGTGAGGCAGGCGGCAGAACCACTGAGCTAAATCCTCAGCCCGATAACCTGTTTTTGATAAACTTACTGGTCAATAGAGCAGACTTGGTTTTAATACAGGCAAATAATTGAAAATAAACCAGAAATTAGTCTACAGTATATTTTCTAATGCTTACTGCAGGCCTTAAGCTATGCTGGGAACCAGGTAGAGCAGGCTCTCCCTGCTCAGGAGGCTCTAAATGCACCTGCCCCTGACTCCCCTGCAGCCCCAGGCAACAGGCTACCAGCAGAGAAGGAAGAAGCACATGGGTGCTTACAGGAACTGAGAAGAAAGATGGAATATAGCTTATTAAATTGTATTGTGTCTTAACATTTGGCCTTATTAAGAAAAAGTCTGAAAGTTTTAAAGAAAGGTGCTCTGTTTAAACTATTAGTGTAAGTCTCTGGATTGTTAACATATTGTTTTACTAAGGCCCTTAATTTTATTTTAATGTTGTAAAATAAGGTAACCCAATGCCTTGAAAATTAATTTGAAAAAGTACATGTTTGCAAACTACTGACTTGCAAGGCTGGAAGGGTTGATGTTCACTTACTTTATTTTGTTGACTTAGTTTTAAATGCTGGGCTCATGGTAAATCTGGGATAATTCACTGTTGCTTTAAATTGTTTTTTTTAGTACTAGGGATTGAACTCAGGACCTTGTGCTTGTGAGGCAGGCACAGTGCCACTGAGCTAAATCCCCGGCACCCACTTACTTTAAATATTTTAACTTTACCAGTAAGGCAATGGCAAAAGTCAAAGCAACAAGCAAAGTGGAACAAGAGAAAAAAGACCAATCACATATATTTAAAATTTTTAAAATCCTATATTCACTATATTATATATTTTCTGGGTAGAATGTGCAGGCAGAGGGGAAAAGAGAGTCTGTGTAAATTAAAGCATGCACAATGACACATCTTACGTTGGGCACTCTTCCTTCACAGATACTTGCACCTGACGCAGTTTGTGATCTGTTCCTACAACAGCTAAGGTGCTCTGAGCTACTGAATGACATTCCTGTGTTACAGAAAACCAGCAATTTTTACAAACCTTTGAGCAAGTGATGTATAAAATGAAAGGATAATTTGTTTTTATAGCTCTCTACCAACTCCATAGCAGGCTGCCCAACCTGTGAGCAATTCATTCTGTAAGGAATATCATTAAATAATGACAAGGACTCACAGGTCAGATGGATTTACATTATATAATTTAAATGTCATTCCAGGAAGACCCGATGGCATTTTGAACAAATAACCTCATTTATTTTTGAAGTTCTAAGCTTCAACAAGTTAATTACTGTTGAACCAATGGGTAAACTCAGCTTTGTAATATAATATGTGGACATCTGCTTTATCTACACTTGAAAAATTTATAGAATTACACACATACCAAAAATGACTCATTAAACATAAAAGAGGTTTATAGGCATTTAAGGTCTAAGGTCTAAACTTAGCCTAAATCATCTTTAGAATATACAGCAATTCTACTTTGACTAAGTGCAGAAAAAATTTGATACATTTTTTTCAGTCCCACTGAGAAAATGCTGCACACTCAGGCTTCATTACTGGAAAGTGATGATTTCTAGTGAAAATCTCCCAAAGCCAAGTAATTAAAATGCCATACTCAAAATATTCAGATCTACAGATCTGTGTATCTTAATTACACAATGTTGAAGGAAGTAAAAATTCAGGAACCAAGATGGGGTGGGGAAGGGTGGGGAGGCAGGGGGTGGGTGTGTCAGAGACAGAGACAGACAACAGCTCAGGGACACAGAGGAAAGAGGCATGAGCCAGACTGCTAGGGCATTCAGCCCCGCTGCAGTAAATGGCTTGGTAATCACAGAAAGCCTGTATGTAGAAGTCGCACCTGGTTTTTACTTAAAGAGATACCAGCAGGTTAAAAGACCCAGGTTTTTAATCTTTGCACCCAGGAAACATAACTGAGGAGGGCAAATGCACAAGTATTTTCATCTGCTTGGAAAGGAGACAGGAAGCACCTGGTGTAGGTGGGAGCAGGTAGCCAAGGAGAGCAGGGAAGGACCTGCAGAACAATAGTCTGAGCTGCCACTTCCAGGGCCTGACTTCAACAGGAAGTGCTTCAGATTAAAATGTTTTTGATTAGATGTCAAAAATGTCCTTGGTAAAAAAAAGAGAGATGTTTAATCCCTGAATATTCTTGGTTTTATATTTAAATTTAAATCTCTGCTCCTTTAAGAGAACTAAAAATAGGAAAGCCTAAAACAACATTTTTCTGTGACTAAAAATTGAGATTCTAAAACCACTTCCCATTAAACCTGTTGAGCCTTTGAAAATTGTAACATGGAGCAGAGAGTAAGAATATGGGAGAAAAGAACAGTGCTTTATGCAATGAAGAGTCAGTTCCAACAGGTCACCAGCCAACAATGACATGTTTACCACGGTGTCCTGTAGACTAATTAATATTCACAGCTAGTGCTCAGTAAATATCTGTCAAATTGTGTTAACAAGTGTGTAACTTCAGATGCGAAAAAAAGTTTATAATTTAAAACTTTCAATGTTTTCACAGAAATCCAAGCCCTTTGGCACGGCCTGTCTCATGTTACCCTGAAGTAATAGCCTTTATTTTCTCTTGAGGACACCTCTGTCTTTCTGAAACACTGTAAGTAGGCCCTTTAAAAAGAAAGGAAAAAGCTGGGCATGGGGGTGCGCACCTGTAATCCCACTCCAGGTGGCTGCGACAGAAGAATCACAGGTTTGAGTCCAGGCTCAGTAACTTAGCAAGGCCCTGTCTCAAAATTTAAAAAGGGTGGGAGATGTAGCACAGCACGAAGGCCCTGGATTTAATCCTCAGCCAGAGAGAGAAAGGATGGGCATGTGTGTGGCAGGGGATGAACTCCCACTGAGATGAAGGCAACTTTCACTTTACCCTCACAGCAGAGAAGCCCCACGCAAATACTTGAGAAGTCCAAGTTCAGACAGAAGCTCAATGGCCTTGAAGCGCACCATGGTGAGGAGGGTATGGTTCACACTGAGCAGATACTGGGAGGTGACAGGTAGGCTGCTACTGGACACCTCACAAAGGAGCCACCCTGTGCCAACATGGAGGGTCACCTGTGATGTCCCTGATAGCCATCCTGTAACAGTGACCATTCCCTGACCTGGTAACACCAACATGAGTGCAGACATCTGAGTGTGGACACTTTCAGGACAAAACACACAAGCCGGCTCGAGCTGAGAAGACCCTCACTGACAGGGCTGGGTCTCACTGACAAGAGTCTGGGGGCTGTTCTCGCTTCACTCTAGGATCCTTAGGCCATAGCCTCTTCTCTAGGGCAGCTCACACTTACTAAAGTCATGGACACTGACTAACCAAAGCAGTGAAGAAGTCAAAGTTGAAGGTTGTATTTTATGTTTCAAAGATAGAAAAAAAAATCAGGGAAGGATAAAAGAATACTAAATACATCCCCTTGTGTTTGGAATCAAAGCCCACAGACCAGCACTGATTTGAATGTTGATTTAAACAAACATATTTTGTGTCTAAATAAACCCTATTTTGGCATATATTCACCATCACTTAAGCTTATTTTACAAACATGCCTAGCAGCTATTTTTACAAAAATGATAATTTAAAGAATTTTAGGGGAAAATAGGCAAGATTAGATCACAATGGAGCCAACTTTTAAGAACAATATAAATCTTTCAGTTGCTGAAAATTAAAAGCCCAACCAACCAAGCATAAAGAGTGTGTTTACAGGGGGACAGCCAAGGAAAGTGGCTTTTAGTGAAAGGAAAATCTCAGGCCCAAGGGCCACTTCTCCAAAACGAAGGAGAAACAGGCTAACACTCTGTCTTCTTTACATGGGGGACAATCGCTCAGTCAGTTTTTCCAAGCAGGTGAGAAATGTTACTTTAAGTGATTTTCTTGGAGAAAGAAGTATGAAACCAATGGTACTACAAATAAGCACATCCAGTCTGAGATGGCCAAAGGCAACCTGGGGCTCAGCTAAAATGATCTGTAATTAATTCCTAAAAGGTAGGGAATGCAAGTGGGGATATTTATAACCCTAACCCAGGCAGGTCCACCATCCTCAGGACGCTTCCTACAGCATGGATTTCAACAGCATCACCTAAAAATACAAAATCTCAGCCTCACCTTCAGATGCATGGGTCATAAATCCCCAGCTGACTACAGTTAATGCAAAAGTAATCAGCTTTCCTATAAATGGATAGCCCCTCCTTTCCTATAGACAATAAATACTGAGTGGATTATTTACTCTGTCATTGTCTACTGCGATTCAAAATTAAATAAATAAATAAAGACAAAGCACTGTCTACAACTCTCAACTCTAGAAATATGCGAAGAATTACGCTCATTGCATCTAGTCAAACCCAGTCCAACACTGGCACTGAAGCCACACATATATTTTAAACATAAATCTCTATAAAATCTATGCATTGCTCTCAAGAGACCGGAGCTATCAAACATTTACCATCTCTTAATACACAAGCAGTGCTAAACTGTACTGGTTAGTAAACATTAGTCATGAGCAAGTGCCAATACGGCTACTAAAATTCTAAGTGATGGAGACAATACAGCCAGGGCTTTCACAATATGTCACACAAGATTTGTAATATCTATTTGCGTGTGAGTAATTACACAGTTGCTTTTTGGTTATAAAATAGGGAAATACAGTACGATAGTGTGAGGGAGCGCTGCTCTGGGTAGAAAAGTTTATTTTTATCAGTGGCAGTCGGGTTTCATGAGCAAACCCTTGAAACACATGTGCTCCATTCTGAGGCTGAAGGCCGAGGCAGAGCAACACAGCGCAGCAGAGACAGAAACCAACATCGTGCTAAAGCATTTCCACGTTCAAGAGAGGAAACTTCCACTTTTTATACTGTAAACTTTCCCTGGCCAGGCCCTAGGGAAAATGATTAGTAAGACTGAAATCTGCAATGAGCCGTTCTGAGTCTAATTAACTATAGTTTACACTGTAATTTTAAAACAATTAACAAGGAATACTTTCAAGTATCAGCACTGACAGAAAATCTGAATGGTATTAAAGTGAAAATAATAAAGATAAAATTGGCAAAGAATAGAAAACTGTTAACCCAGACAAGTAAAATTTCATTCCCATTTCTATCAGTGTTTGAAATTTATTTCTGGATCCTGCTTTTTGCCCCAAATGGTTATTTTCCTTTCCTGGAGATAGGGTATTTTGAGTAGAAAGAGTTATTTCCAAATATGGAGTTTTAAAGAAAAGATTAATGAAAATGAATGCTTCTTCACAATTACAGTCACAGCCACCAAACAATCTCCCCACCCCAAAACTAATTCAATCTACAATAACTCTAAAAATGCACTTAAAAATTTAAAGGTTAAATAAAATTCCTCTTACTTAATCCAGTTCATCAGCTCCACTGTATCTGGGTCATAGAATTCTCTCAACTCGGAGAGTTCATCCATCATTCCTGGCCAGAACTGAAATTGAAAACAAAAGAAAACCAAAATCCACCCCCATACCAACACCTATCACTAAGGTTACATGACAAAAGGCAAACTGCATCACTTGAGTTGAACAGATGCGGCAGCTGGATCCAGAACTGCTTCCCCTCAGCCACCGGCCCTCCCAGCACACATGGGCTGAGGCCTGAGAAAAGTCTCCCAAATTATCCTGAGCTGAAGCCAATTAGGACCAGAGGTGTTGTCAACTTTTAAAAATGTGTTTTCATCTTACTTGCATAAAAACGCTATTCTATGTGGTGCTAATAGTAGTAAAACATTACTTTGATGCGACAGGAATACCAACCACGAGAATGCTCACAGTGTATCGGAAAAGTGTAATTAACTAATACCATGCAATCTATCCTTAAAAGCAGACTATATCTGCGGGAGTAGCACCATTTTATAGCTGCAGAAAATACTCTTATTAAGTACAGAACCTCATTTTGTTCTCACAACAACTGAAGTGCTATGATGCAGCTGGAAGCATCACCACTGGAGGTTTTATTTTAAAGGTATGAAAACCATGGCTCAAAGAGGGACCCGAGCTGACCAGGCCACAAGTGGCAGAACTATGACTTGGAGTGTGGCTGTAAAAACCAGTCTCTTTCATTGAATCATGTATTTTTGATAGTAGAAATCTGGTCACATGGTTTGACATATTAATAGAATTACTGGTACAATTAAGAGAGAATATTTAAGTATGGCACTGCAGGAAAATCTAAGACGTCTACCACTGATGCTTCTCGGTCAACCTGAGTTATTTAAGGTTATGCAGATATAAATATAAAAATGACACTCTGAGTCCACTACTTATCCAAAATAACATCAGTCTGTTTAATGCATCAATTAATTACATCTTGTTTTATCAAATGATGGGTGACTAACAAGACTTGGTCATCCACACATATTCTAAGGTTAACTGCCGAATTCATGTATTGGCACAGAAGACCAATGACAATGTATCTCTGTTTCATTAATGTTGAAAATGTAAAATTTGCTTTAAGAACCATGAAGAAGAATCAAAGAAACACCTGATTTGTCTATGGCTGTTTAGTGCTACCATTTTCGTATCCTGCCATTCCATCTCAGGTCATTTTTACTGCTCATTCCCATCTTGTCTCTTGGGACAGTGAATCAGGAAAACTGTGGGGCATGGAGAATCTGCAGCCAGATCTTTTGGTTCTAGTTTTCAGAAGAGATGTTGTAAAAATTACTGATTAAACGATCCCTTTGTAATATTATAATTAAACATTTCCCTATTAATTTGATAATAGAATACAAAAATTTTAATGAAATGTTCTAATTCCTTTAATATATATATATATATATATATATATATGTGAATCCAGTGGCACTACATATATTACAGTTTTAAAGTTGCTATTATTAATGTTAAGAATGTCAAAATCTGCTAAGAGTCTTATGGAAAATTCCTTAAATAATATAAAAGTAAGTGCTGAACAAACTAAAGGCTGGTTTTAAAGAATTAGCAATAGTTTATATGGGACTGCATCACTCAAATAAGTTAATCAAGATGATGGTAAATTTTATTTGACTTCAAAGTGGAGACTAGTATGTGCTTTTCCCTTTTAATAAGATAATCTGAAAGACAGAGAAAGCAAAATTTGATATTATCAACAAATTTTGAAACTCTGATTAAAGTTGCTAGGTAAAACTCAAATCAGGCTTTGAAATATATGAATCCATATGATATAAAATCTAATAGTTGGGATAGAGGAAAAATAGATTCAGTTTCAAGGTAGCTTTGAATATATATAACATCTTTATATTCTGTAATTTCTGTGATTTTTACAGTCAACAAATTTGAGAAGATAAAATAGCTAAATTTTTTTTTGGTACTGGGGATCAAACTCAGGACCTTGTGCTTGCAAGACAGGTGCAGTTCCACTGAGCTAAATCCCTGGCCCTAGATAAACTATTTTATACAGTTAAAAACTGTTTGTGCCAAGAACAACTGAGACAAGTCTCCCCTCTCCCGCTCCCCTTCTCCCTAGTCCTGGGGATTGATCCCAGGGCCTGTGTACTGAGCTGTATCCTCAACCCTTCATTTTATTTTTTAAATATTTGACATAGGCTCTTGCTAAGTGGCTAAATTGCCCAGACTGGGCTTGAACTTGCAATCCTCCTCCCTTAGCCTCCCAGAGTGGTGGGATAACAAGTGTGCACCTCTTAGAGTGCTGAGATAATAGGTGTGCACTTGGTTTGGAGAATTCTTTAGGAAAAATGACAAGGACTTCCTGGGGATGATGGCTTTCCCAGCACTCTTGCTTAACTTGTACCACTACAAAAGTGGCTCTCAAGAGGAGGAGAGGAGAGATCTCTTCACTTCTGCCCTGACTTCAGGGGAAGTCTGACAACTTCTGGAGACTTCACTGGCTGTCACAATTAGAGGGAGGTGCTACAGCCATCACGTGGGTGGAAAGTACGGAACAGCCACCATGAAAGAGTCATCCCATCAGGGAGTGAAACCTGCACTGCTAGGAATCCTGGTGACACCACAGTAGGAACTTCAGCTTGACAGCACAGCAGCAGCAGCAGCATGGCCAAAATGTGAACTTCTGGACTGGTTCAGAGCTTCTGGCTCAGCAGAGCTTTGACCCAAGGCCTGTATTTCTCCAAGGGCTCGATGCTGCTTGTCTGAGGACTGTGCTTTAAGAGACATGGCTCTACAGCATGGTTTATTTCCTCTGTAACATCCATCCTTACTTTTATTAAGAACATGAGACCTACATCTTCAAATAGTTTTTTTTAAATCCATAAAATTTCGCTAAGTTCCTGAGACATAACAACTCAGCCTACATACATACAAATGATGGGAAGAACTGTCATAGTTTACATAGATCTTTGGTGGAAGACAAAGGATGATGAGGGGCTTTTAGCTTCAAAACTAACGTATAATGGGAAAGTTACCTGATTCCTCATTAAACATATTCTGTTTAATATTTAACCACTGATTCCAGATGTTTTTAAGTTTTACTTATTTATATAAAAGCCAAATTATCAGACACCAGAAGGTAGAACTCTACTTCCGCGTTTTTTAGCACTGAGGAGGTTCTGGTGCATAGGAACAAGATAGAATATAATTTTGTGAAATATGTGCAATATAGTTATTAACTTTTTTAGTCCTAAAATCTTTGGTTTACATGAAAATAGAAGCATTAAAACCACAAGCGGAGCCTGTTATAGCAGGTCCTAGCCAGATGAGGCCCCATCTCTATACCCAACCACTCTCCCAAGTGAGAGCCTTTGCCCAGCAGATTTTGAAATCCATTGTTCTAGCATTTTAAAAAATTTGAAGAAAAAACACCTAAACTTTGTAAATATGTATTATGATTTTAAAGAGAAGGCAAGAATTCAACTGGATAAAGTAATCTATGCCAGTTGCCTAAGTGATACTGTGAGGCATGTAAATCTCCAGGATGTGACAAAAGAATCACAAAGTAGTCAACCTGATCTATGTCACCATCTCGGGGAATTCTCAGAACTAAGGCATAGTCAGTGTTTCAGAAATCAGTCAACTAGCCGGAGATTTAGCTCAGTGATGCTGCTGCCTGCTTTGCAAGTACAAAGTCCCGAGTTCGATTCCCAGTACCAAAAAAAAAAAAAAATCAGTCAACTAAGAACATCAAAAACTTCACTACTTTCTGTTGAAAGTAAAAATAAAAAAGATTTTTTAAAAAGTCTAATGTTAGACGTGTATATATTTAGATATTTAGTTTTCTTATAAAGAAAAGCATCTAATAAGATACAAAGATACAATGAGATACATCTTTAAACTTACTCCATATAGATCAGGTAACAGGAGAAAATAATTTTTCTACTTTATTTGCTCCAAAAATAGGTCTGAAAACATTTTCAGAATTTGCTGAATAGTAACAAAGTTAATTAGACTGAATTAATGCCAGTGAGTTTTTGTTATCATGCTTTTTATTTGTTAAAAAACTATTTGGGAAACAGTTTTCTTATCAATATCAACTGCAGTAAAATGGTAAGGAAGTATATATAAACTCCATAAACTTACCTTGATTTGCCAAAAAACACACAAAATACACTGGGTCAAAGCAATTATTCTGCTAAACAGATTAATGACAAAACTGAGGAAAATCAGGCTTACCTTATAGCACAGATACAGCAGTATTAATATTGGTACTGAGTATTGCATTATATATATCTATAGAAGAAAGACACCATTTAGATTAGAAGCATTTTGAACATTTCTGCCTTATTGTTTTGCTTTGTAAATATATGCACTTTATAAAAAAAATCAAAAATACACTTTAATGGAGCATGAGTCTCTAGTATCAGAACAACCAAGTCAATGTCAGGATTCTAATCATTCATATGGTATTTCTAGCTTTCATCATATTGCTACCTAGTGAATATAGAGGGCAGAACAATTTAAGATTGTATTTGTGGACTATTACACATTATTGTACACTTGTTAATAAGTATTCTTAGTAGAACACCTTATAATAAGAACAGTTATGCTGGGCATGGTGGCACAGGCCTATAATCCCAGCACTCGGGAAGCTGAGGCAGAGGATCACTGTGAGTTTGAGACCAGCCTGGGCTACATAGTGAGTTCCAGGTCAGTCTCAACTACATAGTGAGACCCTGTCTCAAAAAACAAAATCAAGCAAAAAAGAACAGTTATAATGCGAGCTAGAAGGATCATTGGTAAATTTTAATTCCCCTTTATACATGTTTATGTGTGTGTATTGTATTTCTAAATTCTGTAAATGAACATATCTTAGAGTGCTGAGAAAACATACATTAAAAAAGTGAAAATTAATAACATTTAAAAAATTAATTTCTTAGAAAAACTTAGTTTATCAATTACCTATTTCTAGTTTCAAATTTTAGAATCCATCTTATCTAATTCATGGGTAACTACTGAAGATAAAAACTGGTATGAATGAAATACTAAAAACCATTAATAATTAAATAGAAAAAGGGACAATACTAACCCTCTTTGGGTTATAAAGATGGACCAACTTCAGAAATAACCCCCATATTTCGCTACTGCACAGACCAAATGATGCAAACACACACATGTGTGACGTCCAGAGGTACTTCATTCTGCAAAGACAGAGGGGTGGAAGTCAGCAATTCCTAGCTGCGTACATACCTTGAGTCTGAGACAGCTGGAAAAGAGCTTTACAGTATGTGACAGTAAAAAATTACTTTGAACTATTCAGAAGTTATCTGCTAACGGGTTAGCCATTAAGTTAGCCATCAGTATTGCCTTTTGGGAATTATCACATAAGTAAAACACAGAAGAATGCTTGTAATTGGGGAAAAAACTGATTATGAATATTTGTAGTGGGAAAATAATATATAAGGATGTTTTTATGGGAATCACAAACATTAATGAAGATGACTGTCAATTTCCAATTTAAGTGCTAAATATCAAGAGTGTTCAAAAAAGGAATAAATCAGAGAAGACAAAAGTACCTCATTGTACTCAGTGCCAAGAATCCAAACAGAATGGTATGTATCAAGTTGTAAGCAGTTTCTGGTTTCAAGTCAACTGTGCATTGTCCCATTTTACTCATGGATTGCTGAGTTGTAGAATCACTGAATAAAGGGGCAAATATAATGAATAAATATATATAGCTGAATACATAATTGATATTTGTATTTAGTTAAATACCATTTTCCCTAAAGAAATGAATTAGCATTGATCAATTCTGAAGTTCAGGCTAAAAGTATCCAATATGAATGCAGAGACAATGATAATAACTAAAATCTTACAGAATTTAGCAAAAATTTAAAGTAATTCAATTATTTAAGTTAAAAGAGAACAGCAAAAAAATCCTTTTGAAATCACTAAACTTGAGATCTTTAAAGATGCTTTATGAGTTGTTTAATAAATATTTTGCAAAGTTTTTTTAAAAGCCAAAGTAGAAATGTGTCAATAAACATGGAATTCCTTTATGAAGTAATGTTCACATTTTAACCTCATTATATATTTTCAAGATATTAGAAGTCATATATTGAAAATACATGAGGTTAAAATATATTATGTAATACAAAATATGTAGCAAATGTAGCTACATTAAGATTACTACACCTAACAAAATTAACAGCAATTTGTCAACATCATCTAACACCTAGTATGTGCTCCATTTTCCTTGTTTCTCATAATTGGTATTTTTTTCCAGGTAGTTTCTTTGAAGTAGAATCTAAAGCTTGCACGTTGTATTTCTTGATACATCTTTTCAAACATGTTTGGATGAATAAAAATTACCCCCACCCCCTTAAAGGCCATTTATTTGGTGAGGAAAATGTAGTTATTTGTACTGTAATTCTTTTCACCTTCTGGATTTGGCTGATGGCCTCCTCATGGTGATTTTTATCTTATTTCTGCACTCTCACATGTCTTGTAAATTTGCAATCAAATCAAGAGATTATTAGAGTTTATTATTATTATTGAGGGGGGCAAGAAAATTTCATGGGAAATCATTTGTTCTATATTCCACCACACAGGGAAGTATAGATTGTCTGTTGTCTCCACTGTAGTGAGATTAAGAATGATGTGTGATTTTTTTTTTGGTACCGGGGATTGAACTCTGGTCCTTGTGCTGGCAAGGCAGGGCACCAAACTGCTGAGCTAAATCCCCAGCGTGATGCATGAATTTTAACGTTGCATGATTTGTTGTCAGGGGAAAAAGAAACAATAGTAGGGGCGGCTAATTTAAAACAAAAACAATACTTTCATAAAGTACTGACCCTTTATACAAATGTAATAGAACTGGGTATGTATGATGCTTCTCTATATAACTGGAGGACTACACCATCACAGGTTCATAGGGTTATTAAAATCTTACTCTAAAGTAGCTTTCACCATTTAAATGAAAGATTAAACATGAGAACACAAACACTGGCTTCTATATTGATACCATAAGATTCTTCCAGACAAGAACAATGTATTTTTTTTTTTCATTGAAACTGGGGGTTAAATCTAGTGTCTTCCATTAAGCTATACCTCAAATTTTTATTTTATTTTTTTATTTTGAGATAGGGTTTTGCTTAGTTACTAAGTTACCCAGGCTGGGCTCAAACTTGTGATCCTCCTACCTTAGCATCTTAGAATGCTGAGATTACAAGTATTAGCCACCATGTATGGCAAAAGCATTTGCTCTTATCTTTCCTTGATAACCAAGGGAGTTTTGCAATGCCGTTCTCCTACCCTAGCCAAGCTGGAAGGCTCTTACCAATCCCCTTTCAGTTGTATCCTTCACACGAATACAAATATGATGTATGAACATAATACAGTAGTACTTCTGTTCATGAATGCTTTTGTTTGCAAACAATTTGATTTGCAAATAGAAGCATTTGGTAATATTTTGGTTTTGTCTGCAAATTCTGCATTGGGTGACATACAACACTGCAGCCATCTTTCCCAGACAAATACAACTGTGGTCATCTTTTCTAAAATCATAGAACAAATTAAGTTCATTAACTGAGTTACCATTGCAGTATCATTGTTGCTAGTACTAAAAAGGTAGACAGATACTTCACATACTTGGTATTAAAATAGATATCCTTTAAATTACTTGAAAGTTAATTTGTATTAAGATACTATCATCCTTCAATTACCTTAATGTAGTGCTTTTTCTCTAAAAAAGACCTAAAATCCTCACTTGGCGGATGCTCTAAATTCTGTATCTCTAATCATATACCAAATCAGCTTCCAGAGATGGCTCAGATACTCACACTGAGCACAGCTGACATTTTCACAAAGATACTGCAGGCCAACTAAACTCCCTGCTTTGAATGCAGCCTAGAAGTCTGTCGACACTCACTGTGTCAGGAGTAATATTAAATTAAACTGTCTAGATAATTACACAGTCCATGTAGATAATTTTCACAGAGCTACATTTTATCTTGGACAGGCGTAAAAAGAACACTTCTGAAAAATACTAAAATAATTTAGTCATGAAGTATTTTGATGGTTCAACGTGGCTTTATTCTTTGTTGTTATTGTTTTTTTGGGGACTGGGATCGAACTAAGGACCTTGCGCTTGCGAGGCAGGAAGTGAAAACACTGAGCTAAATCCCTGGTCCACGGCTTTATTCTTAATAATCACAAAGCCCCTCAACTGATCTGGACTCATTTTCACAACAGCTCTCTCACAGTTCACCACCATGCTGACTAGCCAGGTCACTATGTAGCAAAAGAGCTTTCTTGGGAGTTCAGTTAAAGTTTTCACAAATGACAGTAGCTTCATCTTCTTATACTTGATTTTCTTTCAATTTAATAGAGATAGCAAATGCAAAAACTACCATAAGCTTAATAGATATTTTATAGTTTTAAAAAACATTTATATTCCCTGATTTTCCATTTAAAAACTGGGAATTATTAAGATTTTTAGTTGATACTAATAATTATGACCCATTCCAACTTCATGAGCTCTGAAACAAGATGCAAGAAAGGAAATGAATAATTAACTCTTTATATTTTATGAGAAATATAAAGATTACTTGGAAGAAGAAGGTAGAAAAAGTAGAAAAATGTCAAAAACTAATAATGGAAATAAGCTAGAGAGCCATGAGTCCATAATAATATACTAGCTAATGATGTAAACACCTATAGAATATTTTAGGCAGGAGATGCTATTTTAAGTACTTTATGTTGTTTTAGTTTATTTATTCCTCATAAAACTATGTGGAGAAAGTACTTGTCATATTCTCATTCTGCAGATAAGGAAAAGGAAATATTGAGAAATTACATAACTGACTCAGTTACGACATCATTCCTGGTGTGCAAGGCGAGACCTTAAACCCAGAGCAGTTTGAACTGTGGCCACCACTCTGTGGGATCTCATCACTATGGAGAGTAGATTTCACCTCTAAACCTACATACGTTTCCCCTTTAAGCAGCACCGTTCTGTTCTGAGTTTGATATTTTGATTTCCAACTTAGTAATTTTTCTACAACACTCAGAACAATTTCATGAAAGCAGAGCGTTAAACATGCTGCAAGGCTCCATACCTGAGATTATGAAAGGCAACAACCAATGCTGCAATCACTGCGATGGACAGAACAAATATGTAAGCATAAAAGAGCAGAGTATCTGAAAGCCTTACAAATGTATTAAAAGGCAGGAGGCCAAAAGCTTCTTCACACAGATACAGATTTGCATCGAAATCCCTGGGGAACAAATGGAAAGCAAAGTATTAAATTAAATGCAAGGCAAGAAAGCAACACTATTTTTCCTTAAAATAAACCTGCAACAAATAATTGAGGGGATAACACAAATCAAGCCTTAAAGTCCTTGTTGTTTTAATATATAACAGCAAATGCAGGTTTTATTTCAGTCATACCTTGTTGCTCCAAACCCAAATTTTGCCTTTAGAAAGTTAAATATGTGTTCATCTGACTTCAGATTAAGAATTTTCTATCAAGGAGAGAAAAAAACAAAAATTGCTATTAGTGCCTTAGGTATGGATTCTTGATAATTTCCCAATAAATATGTATATCCAGGGTCCAATTCACTGGAGGTATGTATATAAAATTAGTAAATGTTCACAATATTTCCCAGATTCTAAGGCAGACTTTCAAGCTCCCTCCTTTCCTCACAACTCACTTTCATAAGGATAATCCTTTATTCCAACATCTGATGCATAAGATCTTTATAGAAAATAGATAAAAGATGGCTGTTTTGGGTTTCAGGGAGAGGGAGAAGGCTGAAGCACAGTGACTAGAATTTTTACATCAAAAAACAGTATGAGTTGGGTGTTGCGGTATACACACGTAATCCCAGCACTCTGCAAGGCTGAGGCAGGAGGACTGTATGTCTGAACCCAGCTTAAGCAGCTGTGTCTCAGCAAGACCCTGACTCAGGAAAAGGGAGCAGGTGCTGAGGACGCAGCTCTGTGTAAAGGTCTGGGTCAGTGCCCTGTACCACTACCATCATCACCACCACGAGAATGATGACAGCAACGACAACAACCAACAACAAACAATATGACGATCTGAAACTTCACACAGGGCTACAGCCCACTTGGCTTTAGGGATTTGGATCTGCAGATGGTGCTGACATAAGACTCAGAGACATTACAAGACAACAGTAGCCCTCCAGGGTGAACAGACAAATGTAAGTTTCCATCATTAGTGACCATAATTTTAATTCATGTAACTTTAGCTTTAATTTGTAACTTACAAAATCTAGATAACACAAAAGGTGAAGAAGTAATATTCAAATACAAATGACAGCCAAAAATGAAGCCAGAATTGAGGTTAGTACACAAAATATATTCATTAGAGATGAGCCACAAATCTAGTCTTATGCATTATAGCAGTAAATGGAAAGACAGATGAAACATTTATGTTACTCACAGGTTATAAGATTAAAACTAAACATTTGCTCGGAAAAGATCCTAACAGCCCTAGAAATATGACTCACGAGAAATTTTCCCATGGGTGCAATAAAAATAGCAAGGAGTTTCACAGACTATTTTTTCTAATTCCTCTCATTTCAGTGTGCAAACCAATAGATGTTATTCCCTGGGGTGTCAAAAAGCAGAGGCTCAGGTATGCACTTAACCTAAGAACAGACCAACAAACACCTGAAGGGACCAGGGGTGAACTGCATACCTTTCGGCTGATCTTCCAGAAAGGCTGAAATGTGTGTGGGGGGCCACACGAGCAAAATCCTTGGCTGCTCAAGTCTTTTATATAATATATAATACATGCATTTGCATATATCCTATGCATACCTCCTTTATGCTCTAGATCATGGTTAGATTATTTATCATTCCCAATTCTAATTCAATGTAAATGCTGTGTAAATAGTTATTAGGCTACATTCCTTGGGGAATGTTGACAAGAAAACAAGTCTGTACATAGTACACTCTGAATATTTCTGATCTGTGGTTGGTTAAATACTTCAATGAGGAACCTGCAGATGGGAATTCATGGGTATGGAGGGCTGACTGCACTGAACTGTGTAAAGTTTAAGGCTGTAGCAACAAGGACCTGGAGTGAGGTGTTTCTGTGGCTGGCTGAGTGAAGAATCTTTTTTTTCTTCGACAGTCAAGAGAACTGCCACTCTCAGGAAGAGAAAGAGCTGTTTTGCAGATGCCTTCTATGTTGAGACTAACATTCTAGGAGAGGCAAAATCAACTGATGAGATCACTATAGCTTTGTTGTGGCATAAAAGCAAATGCAGCATCAAGGTCCTGAAATAAAGTCTTCACTTTAAAAAAAGTTAGAAAAGATATTGTAAAAATTAAGCATCTCCTAGGGCACTTTGGAAAAAAAAAATTCCTAGCAAAGCTCCTGGACATATAACAAGTGTAGGCCTATAATAAGTGAGTTGCTCTGTTTTATAGGGCGACTGATTTTGAGTCAGTTAAATGTTAGGAAACATCTAGCAACAATGAGCTCATCTTTCTAAGGGAAATTAGAATTTCTAAGAGAAATTTATTTATTAACTGAACCCAGTAAAAACCACAATGTAGAAAACCAAATTTAGAGAAATATTTATTTGATGTTTTTAAAGTTGAGTTTTTAAAAAGTTTATTAACTTGGTGAGTTTAGAGAAGAATAAATACAGATGACTACTTAAAACCAACAAAACCATCCTGTTCTCAGGACAAAGTTAAAACTGGGCCTGTTCAAAGAAAAAAATTCGGTGTGCTGATATGCTTTGTCAAGCAAGAATTTACTTATCTGAAATAGAAAATTTAAAAATTGTCTCGAATACCATCAGTACATTTAAAAAATACATTAAATGATATTTACTAACTTACCTTAGTAATATTGTTGAGAAAAAGTGTCAAACAGAAAACTACAAATAAATGTAATAAAAGTTTCCTGATCCTGTTAAGGAAGTTTCCAGTTTTCAGGTTTTTCTAGAAATTAAAAGAGTTGTTTTAATTCTTAAATTTTTATGTAACTTCCTAAACACCTGAGAATTAAGGATTTCAAACATTGGCTCATGCAACATATAGGAAAAATATATGTGGAAAATATAACCTACACTTCCTGAAGTTACACTGTCTTACTACTACTTTTAATTTTCTACTACTACACGAATCCCTTAATAATCAGCTTCATAAGATAAGTAAATGTGCCCTATTCTTTTTCTTTCTTCTTCTTTTTTTTTTTGAGATCTTCATAACTAGAATCCTGGGCTCTGCCATTTGGAAAGTTCTAGGGATATGCTGACTGAATATATCATCACATCATTTATCCATTCATACATATAGCCATAGCCCAAATAAATAAAGGCCTATTAGTAAAAAAGAGTAAATTGTGCTCTCTGACATGTAATAGTTTTCATATAATCCTAGTACTGCCAAATATAATAATACCTAGAGTTCAATGATGTTTATTTATAATTAAGTGACTTATTTAGTGATGTTTATTTATAATAAGATTAAAAGGATGAATGAGAACTATTGCTCTTAATAACAAATTAAAAACTTGTTAAAATAATCTTTCTTACAGTTTGCCCACAGCAATTCCCACTCAACAGACTAATAAGAAAACTTATCCAAAATTCCCAAAGGTGAAAACAAAATGGCTTTTTGGTATAGAATTGTTTATAGCACATGAGAAAGGAAACAGGATTTGTTACAATTTTAAGGAAAAACAAATGACTCTCAAATCTTATGCAAGTTAAAGAAATTTAATTATATAATAAAGACCCCAAATTAGGTCAGTATTTTTTCTCTTTTTTCTACTGGTGCTGGGACAGAACCTTGGGCCTTGTGCACGCCAGGTCAGGGCTCTTCACTGAGCTATACCGGAGCCCCGGATCGATGTTTCCAAACATGACTTATAATAACTTAGGAAATAGCGCATTTCTAAAAGGTATTTTTTTAGATTCTTAAAATTCTCAAAACAGAGTTAATTTATTTAAAAAGCAGTAAGAGGGCTGGGGATTTAGCTCAGCGGTTCGGTGGCCTGCCTTGCAAACACAAGGACCCAAGTTCAATCTCTGTACCCAAAAAAAAAGAAAAAAGAAAAAAAAAAGCAATGAGAGTACGGAAGGACAAGAGAAAAAGTGGCGTTACTCCTTTGACCACAAGGAGTCGAATGACAAACTGTAGGAGAAGCAGGTTCTTCTCACTCAAAGTTTATCTCCTCTTTTATTTTAACATTGAATCAGTGGAACTCAACTAAACACCTCTGGCTAATCCCTGAATTGAACTAGAGTTTCAACTTTGTAAGCGATATTTGCCAAAACGAAGGCATGTCAAGAAGGTGGAAACAGGAACACGACATATACTTAATGAAAAGAAAGCAAGTAATGCCACTTAATCAGATACCATATTAGAATCAAGTCTAGTGAACCACAGTAAAAAAAAAATGTTTACTTTGACCAAGGAAAGAAAAAAGGCAGGAGGATTGCAAATTTGAGCCCAGCTCAGACAACTGAGCAACTTAGCAAGAGACCCTGCTTCAAAGAAAACAGAAAAAGGACTAGGGATGGAACTTATTGTGAAGGCCCCAGGTTTAACCCCCAGTAACACCACACACACCATAAAGGCCTACCTGAAGTTTTCTTGCAATTAATACTGAAAGGTTGAAGCTGATAAGCAATGATCCAAGAATCATGGAATTGAAAAACTGAAGAATGCAGACCAGGAGCAAACCAGTTATCTGTATACCATACAACCATGTTGCCTGCAACAGCCAAAGATTAGAGAGTGAAGCAGCTTTTCTCAGGAGACCACCGCATGGGGACATGATGGTCACTGGCTGGATACATCTCAAGTTAGAAACAATGCAGAAAACACACCCAGCTTTAAGGAACACAGTCTAAAACAGGAAACTTAATCATAGTCATTGCATTTACTGTCTGCAGCCAACAATAAATATCACATTCTATTATTTCCTAATTTTGTAGACCAAACACTTTGGGGCTATACGATACACTGTTTTTTGTCTGTCTCTGTGTGTGTCCCTAATTCCAGGATAGACTGACCCCTGCAGTAAGGTTTGTTATTTTTTGTTTTGTTTTTTGAGACAGGGTCTCACTATGTGGTTGAGACTGACCTGGAACTCACTATGTAGCCCAGGCTGGCCTCGCACTCACAGCGATCCTCCTGCCTCAGCCTCCTGAGTGCTGGGATTATAGGCATGTGCCATCACACACAGTGTGAAAGTTTTCTACTCTTACTTTTTTGATTCACAGCAGGTGGCCCCATACAGTGGCCAAGAACTTGAGCCCTGGAGTCAATAGCACCTGTAATGTAGTCCTAATTCTGGAGACCTTAATGTGCCAGAAATGGCTAGGGTCTGATAAAAGGACTGAAGTTGTGCTAAAATGCTAGTACCCATAGTGATGTGTACACATCCATGCTTATAGCAGCCACAATTCATAACACATAAATCTTAGAAGCAGCCTATATGTCCATCAATGATAAATGGATAAAGAAAACGTGGTCTTTATATACACTATTCTGCCATAAAGGACAAATTTGAGTCATTTGTAGGAAAATTGATGCACTTTGAGACCACGATGTTAAGTGAAGTAAATTAGACACACAAGCTTAAAAGATTACACGACTTCTCTTACATGAGAAACTCAACATATAAATAAAGTGGGTTGAAGCTAGAGGACTGGCAGGCGGCATCAGCAACTATGGCAGTGGCGGAGGCAGAACTCAGCAGTGATGTGGAGGTGGAGAACCACAGGAACCCAGGACCTCACCTGAGCTCAGCAGTCACCAAGAGTGGCAAGAAAAGGAAGAAGGTCCTGAGTTGGAGGGGACCAGGATGCCTGACCAGGACGCTTATGCCAATGGTACAGGGGTGGAGGACGTGGAGGTGGTGGCGGTGAGGAGGCAAGTAGTACAGGGGCAGCTCAGATGCCATCTGTAGAGACTTCCTAATGAATGTGTGCAAGCCAGGCAAGTGCTGTTCCATCTTCTGCCATGATTTTCAGAATAAGGAGTGTAGCTGCCCAAACTGCTGTTTCACCCATGGCCCTGAGGATAAAGATGGCTAGAAGATGGAAGAGCTACCCCCCGTTGAGGCAGAAAGTGGCAGCTGGCCTGGGCCTTTCACCAACTGACCGATCAAATGGCAAGGAAGAGTTTCCCTATCCACCGGGACTTCCTCAAGGCTGACTGTCAGAGAGGCACCGAGTACAAGTTCTGTCACTTGCAGCAGGATTTTGAGTTTGAGGCTTGGGGTGGAGGAGGCACTGGTGGTGGGGGCTCAACAGGCTCCATCCCTCCAGGATGTCAGCATGCTCTCTATGATATCTATGATCTTCCTGACCGGTGCTTTGAAGACCATAAACCAGGCCCCAAGCCTCATGGAGGCGGATGCTGCCTCCCCATGGCTCCGCCCTGAGGAGTAGGGTGCAGACTGCTAGAGCAGGAGAACACCAGGCTCAGGAAGTGCGTGGAGGAGTTAAAGAAGCAGGTCAGCAACTTGTTAGCCACCAATGAGGTACTTCTGGAACAGAATGCCCAGCTCTGCAACCAGGCCAAGGTCATGACCCTTAGCTCCACTGCACCAACAACTGAGCAAACTCTGGCATCCACTGGGCACTGTCGCCACTTTTAACCATGGCACTGCCCAGACTCACACTACTCTCAGCAGCCAGGATCTACGGCACGTCCTGTGTCCCCTGCAGGAGCTCCAGCTGCTCCCCCAACTAACGCTGCACCTCCTGCTCCTCCAACCCCCCACCCTCACACTTGAACCCAGAGATCACACCATTGTCAGCTGCTCTGATGCAAACTATCGCCCAGGGAATGGCACCTCCATGGCTCCTGTGGCTGTACTGATGGCCCAACCCAGAGCAGGAATCACAATGAGCCACACCACCACTCCTTTGGTGACATCCCATTGCTTCCCAGAGCATGCGCATCACAGCCATGATGGGACTAATGGCCACTCCTCTGGTACAGCCTCTCAGGGCTGGTGTCAAAGGGCCCCTACCCACTCTCTTAGCCCTCCTAGGCCCTGTCCAAAGGGCTCACTCAAGAACTAGGATGAGAGCCTATAAGGAGTATGCTTCCTGAGATGGGGCTGGGCTGGTATGTTCTCTCACCTCCCTTTCAGGAGGCCCTCATGTCTTCCCAGGCCTAACTGAAGGCTTGCATAGGAGTGCAGACTGAAGCCATCAGAGAGGAGGCCTCTCTGACTGAGGGACTGTGTCTTATGCCAAGTTGGGGACATCCCTGGTCTTGTCCTCTATTGTGAACAGTACAAGTTTTAGCACTAGTTTTGGAAGAAAAAATTGCCTACCCAGAAGGAGAGCCAGGCAAGATTGAAAAGTGGGTGGCCAGGAGAAAAGGCCTCAGAGGAGTCTTCAGACCATCTGGGGCCCAGTTGGGTTAGATAATACAGGAACTGCTCTGGGGCCCCTGGGAAGGCTGGGACCATAGTACTCCAGCCCAGAGACTAGAGACGCATTCATTCACCTAGCTTGGCCTGGAAATCTGAAGGGCAGAGCCCACTATTTTCCAAAGAAATAAAAGAATTAATTTTAATAACAACAACAGCAAATAGAGAGATGATAGATAGATACACACATACATACATAGCAAAATAAAAGACAGACAATAGGAAAAAAAGAAAAAGTTACTAGAATCCAGCATGGACGATGTACCTAAAAGTGTATCTTGATTTAGTACAACTGTCTTACGTGTTTTACAAGTTTTTTAGCTTGTCAGACTAGCTGTTAACCCATATGTACGATAATTAACTTCATAAAGACTTAGAAATAAATGAATCTGATTCTAGCAAAAAAAAAAAAGGGGGGGGGCATAGAGGAGAAGGGGAAATAAATAAAAGAACTGAGAAATGTTATGTACATGTACCAGTTCCCCATAATGAGTGTAATCATTACGTATTGCAAACCTGTATTAATAAACCCAATACATATAAGCACTCAGTAAGGATCATTCTTGGTGTAATGAAACCCAACAAAAAGGCAACAAGAAAAACAAAATGCATCTGATTTGAACACAAAATCATGCCACAAGGGGGAAAAAGGCAGCCTTGAATAAAGATGAAAAATTTTCAGTTACTTTTCCTCTTCTCTCAAGTTAGACAATTCTAAACTCCTACTGGAACATGAAAAATACCAGTTTTACTCAGCAACCAACCTGATTTCTTCCATGGTGGTGTTCTTTTAACTTCAAAAGAAACAAATCTACAATCAAGTGTGAAAGGCCCAATGCTTTTGTTTAGTATTAATGGCAATTTGGAGCAATGGATGCTAGTAGTTTTTATAATTATAAAGACACGGCAATTCTAAGAGATTTATGAAATTCAGAAAAACAAACAGCAATCATGCCGGGCGTGGTGGCACACGCCTGTAATCCCAGCACTCGGGAGGCTGAGGCAAGAGGATCCCTGTGAGTTTGAGACCAGCCTGGGCTACATAGTGAGACCCTGTCTCAAAAAATCAAGCCAAAACGAAACAAAACAAAACAAAACAAAAAGAGCAATCAATAAAGATGGGTTTAAGAACAAAAACCCAACATCATTATCTACAGAAATAATACTGATTTCATAGCAGGCCTATAATAGTTTACATATATATCATTTTACATGTTTCATATTATATACTGTAAATTTCTTAAATCAATAATTGTTCTGTGAAAATGTATATTTTAAATGACTATATAATATCCCACCATATACTGCAACGTGCCTGCTACTGAATCATGGGTGTCTCTACTTTTTGTTATGAACACTACACTCAGGAAAGAGGGCTTCCAGAACTACTTCAGAAAGTGGCAAGGATGATGGGATAAGCATGTTTGGATCAAGTGGGAGTATTCTTAGGGGTAGTAATGGTAATGTGTCTTTTAGTATAATAAATTTTTAAAAATTTAAATGTTCACCAAAAATATTATGACTATCCCTTTAAAAAGTACTCAGATCATTATATTTGACTAGTTTCATTTACTGATGTTTCTTCAGTTCCCAAAAGAATGCCCTCTTAGCACAGAGCCACTCAAAAAATATTAGAGAGGACTCAAGCAATGAATGAATACATTTCCTCAGGATACGAGTTAGAGAAGTATAAAAGTTGTACAAAGTTCAGAACTTAATATCATATAAAATAAATCAGCTGTATTATTTAAAAATTATGTGTGTGGCCAAACAGTACTTTTATTGTTTCCTAATTTAAAAAGACATACACAGTCATTACAGAAAAAATTAAGACGATCTAAAGAACAACAAAAGTCCCTAACAGAGCATGTACTGTGGAGCTGGCGGTTAATATCTGAATGTTTATTTTTCCACGATGTTTTCTGACTTTCTCTATGATGTTTTATGGGGGTAATGGCCATATAACACTCCATTATCCAGACACCCTGTAATTCATTTCCCTAAACCTTACGGCTGCTGACTTAAGTCAGTCTCAGTTTCTTTTGATCACAAGACAACTGAAGTAAACATGAATGGTTATTTACTTAGGACACATTGCTAGAGAACAAATGCATTTGTAGGCTTTTGATACCTACCCTGGAAATAATGACAGAAAGATTATAGGAATTTATAATTTACCTGCAGTGAGTAGCCACTGCTACACACACACACACACACAATATATAAGTGCATATAAACTTGGCCTTATCCATTTGCTTTCCTTCCTCTCCTGCCCCTGACACTCCAACCAAATTCTCCCCTCATTTGTGGTTCAGCCCTTAGCCTCTTACTTCTGTGAAACCCTTCCTGTCTACCAAATACTTCTCTTTTCCTCAAATTCTAACACTCACTATTACTACCAATAGATATCTATCCTTCCCCTAGGTTCTCTGGTTTTATTTGCTTTATTTTCCAAGGCAGAGGGTGTACTCCCTCTGGGGGCAATGCTTATGCACAATGGCACTCCCCGATCCTATGATAGTGACAATATTTATTTTGTGGTTGACTTGAATGTTTCTTAATTTAGACTCAATCAGTCCCAAAGATTACTGTACCTCTTTTGATATGGAATAACTAAGTTAACTCTTCTATACGGGGCTGCTTTGCTGCCTTTGATTTGGGGATATTTTATTTTACTTGGAGATACTAAAGTTACTAGCTATGAGCAATTTTAAAAAAAATGTATAAAACACATTAAAACACTTCTTCATATGAAAAACAAAATCACCAAGGGATTAAATGACAGCAGCACACACTGGGAGACAGATCTGGCTTTCCTTATTTCACATGTTACATCTGGCCAGTCAATGGGTTCTCCTCCCATACTGGTCAAATGTTACTATGAAAATTTATTATAAAATATCTCAGAGAAATTGTCAATACCTATTGAGCTATTTGGGAAAAAAGCCAATATATAATAAAGAATTTTATTTTGATTTTTTTTTTTCTGCTACCAGGAATTGAACTCAGTACCTTGCAGCTGCGAGGCATGCGTGGCACCACTATGCTAAATCCCCGGCCTCTAATAAGAAATTTAAAAAGAGTGATCTTATATTCTAAAATTTAAGTCACGTCTATAAATGACTATTTAGGCACTTATGCCCCAAATAGATCCATTTTTTAACATAAAGCAAGCAGAATAAAAGTGAAGGCTATTAGATGGTGCTGTGTACACTCCTCAGCTTCAACTGACCACAGCATACTTACATTAAATCTTGGACAGAGCTTCAGTTTTGTCATTAAGTGCTTGCATATTTTAATCTCATCCCAGGATATGAAAGACTAAACAATGAGAACCTCAATGAGAAAGAAAAGCAAAGCTTACCTTCGCCGCTGGCAGCATGTCCAAGGAGTCCAGTATGAATAGCACAAAAGCTTGCACCAGCATCATAAACTGATTAAATTGCCATGTCAGACTAAAGAGAAAAGTTGATATGAAAATGGCAAGAAGTGTCAGCCTCTGTAAAAAGAAAACCTTTGTATAATTTACATGTCCCTAGTAATAAAAAAACCTCACAGACAAGTTTTCTCAAGAGCAGCCAATATCTCTATAAACCAAACAGAAAAACCATAAACTGTTGCTCTGAAAACCCTTGCATTTGTTATTTAAGCTTTAAATATCTTAAAGTGACACTCTGCATATAAATATTCACATACAGTATGTGTATTCCACACTATTATGGAGGCGATAATGCACCAAATCACATCTCAAGAGCAATGGCTTAAAAATTCTGACAGTTTCACAGAAATTGTGTGTGGGCTTGCTGCAACTATTTAAGGGCAGATCATGTAGAGTACATTTTTAACATAAAAAATGAAAACATTTCCTTTGCAAAGTAGGAAAAAGCTCAGAGAAAGAAAACTTAAATTTAACTCCAGTTAAAAACCTGGTCATAGAAGAAGAACTATTCACGTGGATTGGGATATTACATGCAACATATTTTTCAAAGCTTCTTGCAAGAAACTGGAGAATCAAAATTATATGAAGTGTTATAGATACTTACTTCAGAAAGAGACTGTAAGTGTGGTCTCAGGAAATATGTAATTGCTGCTATCTGGATTGCAAAGAATGGTAGTGCCCAGTTCTCCCTCAGTGGGATGGTAAACTCAACTCTTGTGGTATCTATTCTGCACAAAGAAAACACAAATGGCCAAAATGATCATTTTCACTGTAATTGCCTCCCAGATTTTCTAAAGTGAAAGATAATTACTTTAAGCACAAGTATACTTAGATTCTAGCCATTAGCTCTTAATAATTGACCTTATCATTATCCATCACCATCATCATCCCCATACGACTGGCACTGAGACAATTTAAGTGATCAGTCCATGGATATATATTTAGCTAAGTGGTAGAACTGGGGCTCAAGCCCATGTTAGCCTAACTGGTAAACCCATAAAGGTATCAGGCCTAACTGCTCCTTACTTTTTTCTCTAACTTCATAAATGCCAATAGGCAATGTGGTGCATTCTTTCCCTCCAGTTCTTCAGTGTTTTATAGTTGAGTCTTAAATTTGCCACTGATAATTCTTGTTGTTTCTGTTTGTTTGTTTTGTGTCTCACAATGTAGTTGAGACTGACCTTGAAACCACTATATAGCCCAGGCTGGTCTCAACTCACAGTGATCCTCCTATCTCAGCCTCCTGAGTGCTGGGATTACAGGCGTGTGCCACCATGCCCAGCTCACTGATGATAATTTAATACTTCTTGCTTCTCTAAAATCTGAAACCTCAGAGGACAAGTATAGGTAAATTTTCATCTTTGTACACTCAGGACCAAGAGCAGTACCTGAACATTCTAGGCATTCAATAAATGTGTATGTTCATGTACATATAACATAACCTTTTAAACCTCAATTTCCTTATCTCTAAAGTGGGGTAATAATCATCTCTACCACATAGGGATGTTATAAAGCATTCTGTAAAGTACTTAGCACAAAGGGTCATAATAAAAAGTAATTTGTTTAGAATTACAAAATAAGATCTGTATTAGAATTCATGTTCAAGTTTTAGTACCCCTACTAAATACTGGCATTGCCACTGCATGTCAGGCAATAATTCAATATATCTTGGCCTCGCAAGTGCCAAGGACCCGAGTTCAATCCCTGGTACCAAAACAAAACAAAAAAACCCAAAAACTTTTCTTCATATATCTTGAATATATTTTCTTAAAAATACTATTTAAAAATACTATTTCATAAGGTACCAATGTTTATAAATTAAAAGGTATTAAATAATATAAAAACTTCTTTGCATTTTTACAGTGCTTTATGTTTTGCTAATGGAGAACAGTATTTAAATCTATTAAGACTGATGGTGAAGATATTATCACAGCTCTTTAAGAGATGAGAAATGTGACTGGAAAAATACTGATCATACAGTAAACATGTAAGAGAACTGGGATTACTACAGATGTTTCTTTTGATCTGCAGTTCAATATTCTGTTCCTTGGCAGGAAAGGAGGACTTCCCACCTTACTAAATAAGAAATACTAAGTCAATCACTAGCTAAGCCAAACACAAAATGCTGTCAACCAAACATGGCAGAAGAAATGTCTCTGAACTGGAAATAAAGTAACTTTATTTTACTTACATTGTAGAAAGGAAAAGAAACATATTGATTCCAACTCACCTATTTGTGACATACCAGAAAGCTGCTAACAGTCCTGATAGCCAGGTGCCACTAAGGAGCCAGCTGGTTACATAAAGAGCTGTGACATAGACTGCTTGGAGTCCAAATAACGTATAAATATAAAAATAAACTGGCTCTAAATACTTCTGAAAAGGAAAATAAAAATGTTTGTCAGCGAAGTCCTGATTCTCTTTATGCCATTTTAAAAATACGTCAGTAGAAACGCACCATGTGGAAGCTTGCTGCTAACCCCCAGCAGTAAGTCCGCACCACCTCTTCCTGTCCAGAAGTATGCTAGCCATCTTTCCAATCACAAGCAAGGGAGAAAGGAGGGAAGGTCTGGGAGTTCTGCCTTCGTTCTTCAGACAAGCTTACACCTAACTCTGTCCAATTTACCTTCTTACACAAGAAGTGGTCATTGTGAGTTGACAATTTTATAATTATTTTAATCTCAAAGATAAGTCAGGAGCATTATTTACAAATGAAATATTTATCAGCTTCTAGACTATACATAGATACTATGATATGAAAGGAGGCAACTCTATATAAAAATCTTACAATTGTTACAAATAAAAAGCTGTATCTTACAGTAATAATGTTCTCAGTACAATGGAGAAAATTAGGGCATTTCTGCTTTCTATCAAAGCAGTCCAAGATCAGAAGACTGTCTCCAGTCTTTCTGTCTTGTGAACACACACAGCAAGAAGGTAGCCATTTGAAAGTAGGAAGAGTCCTCACCAAAGCCTGATCGTGCTGCTCTCCATTCCAACTCGGACTCCCAGCCTCCACAGCTGTGAGAAAATCAGTTTCTGCTGCTGAAGCTATCTAGTCTATGGCACTTTGTCATACTATGCTGAGTAGAGTAACAAAAGAGACTATTTGCATCAAGTATGTGACGTTTCCAGTTTGAAATGGCAGATTAGGACTTTCATCTGATAGCACCAGTTCAATGGCACAGATCATGACATACCTGTATGGGTAGAACTCTATATAAAATACTGAGGAAAACCTCTTGGTAAATATTCATTCGCTGAAGGAGGTTAATTGTCTTCATAGATTCCGTTTTATTATCATATATTAAGCCATGAAAACCTAAGAATGATATTTTTAAAAATTGGGAAAAATTATCATTATTTAATCAAAATTATTCATAGACTCTTTAGTATGTGCCAGAGAATGTAGATGGCAGTAGGGACATAACAGTAAGCAAAACACAGTCCTACCCTCAAAGAGCTTACCATATACTAGATGCACATTATTTAAACATTTATAAAAAACCCAGGCAAATTAAAACATCTGTGACTGCAATGTAAAAAGAGACCACATCATTTTTCTACTGAAATTTGGACAAGAGAATTCTACATCCCATGGCCAGCAGTAACTCCGCTGGGAGAGTACACACAGCCTTGCTAGGTCTGGCCAACTGACTAGCTCTGACCAAAGGCACGAGAGTGGACACACTCATGCATGGCTTTAAAGAAATGTGTGTTTCTACCAGCTCTCAGTCCCTCTGTGTGCCACGACACTGGCATGTTCCAAGTATGGGTGGGCATGAGAGGACATGTGGGGTAGAGCAGAGCTGCTGCTGTCTTACAGCAGGCATAGAATGAGAATAAGAAATAAACCTGTTATTACAGAAATCCACTGCCATATTGAGGTCATCTGCTATTGTAAACAAGCTAGTTAATACTGTACCAGGGATGAATGGACAGTTTACAGAAGAAAACATGCACACAGCCCTTACACACAGGAGAAGATGCTCAAACTCCCTCCTATTAAAAGTGCAAATTAAAACTATATTGAAATACCTACCAGGATGGCAAAACTCAAGAAATATGACAATATACTGTAGTAAAGTTATAGGGAAGTAGATTTTCCCATGCTGCAGCTGGGAATGCAAAATGGTGTCATCTTTATGGAGAACAATTTTGTAATACCCCCCAAATTACATGTGCATTTACCCCTTTTATCTGGAAAGCCCTAAGAATTGATCCTAAAGAAAAACTAGTAAAAATACAAAATGACACAGGCACAAAGTTATTCATTCATGCAGCACTGTTTAGGAAGAACAAAAAATCAGAAACCACCAAATGCTCATCAATAGGAGGTAGTGTAGAGTAACAAAAGAGACTATTTGCATCAAGTATGTGACGTTTCCAGTTTGAAATGGCAGATTAGGACTTTCATCTGATAGCACCAGTTCAATGGCACAGATCATGACATACCTGTATGGGTAGAACTCTATATAAAATACTGAGGAAAACCTCTTGGTAAATATTCATTCGCTGAAGGAGGTTAATTGTCTTCATAGATTCCGTTTTATTATCATATATTAAGCCATGAAAACCTAAGAATGATATTTTTAAAAATTGGGAAAAATTATCATTATTTAATCAAAATTATTCATAGACTCTTTAGTATGTGCCAGAGAATGTAGATGGCAGTAGGGACATAACAGTAAGCAAAACACAGTCCTACCCTCAAAGAGCTTACCATATACTAGATGCACATTATTTAAACATTTATAAAAAACCCAGGCAAATTAAAACATCTGTGACTGCAATGTAAAAAGAGACCACATCATTTTTCTACTGAAATTTGGACAAGAGAATTCTACATCCCATGGCCAGCAGTAACTCCGCTGGGAGAGTACACACAGCCTTGCTAGGTCTGGCCAACTGACTAGCTCTGACCAAAGGCACGAGAGTGGACACACTCATGCATGGCTTTAAAGAAATGTGTGTTTCTACCAGCTCTCAGTCCCTCTGTGTGCCACGACACTGGCATGTTCCAAGTATGGGTGGGCATGAGAGGACATGTGGGGTAGAGCAGAGCTGCTGCTGTCTTACAGCAGGCATAGAATGAGAATAAGAAATAAACCTGTTATTACAGAAATCCACTGCCATATTGAGGTCATCTGCTATTGTAAACAAGCTAGTTAATACTGTACCAGGGATGAATGGACAGTTTACAGAAGAAAACATGCACACAGCCCTTACACACAGGAGAAGATGCTCAAACTCCCTCCTATTAAAAGTGCAAATTAAAACTATATTGAAATACCTACCAGGATGGCAAAACTCAAGAAATATGACAATATACTGTAGTAAAGTTATAGGGAAGTAGATTTTCCCATGCTGCAGCTGGGAATGCAAAATGGTGTCATCTTTATGGAGAACAATTTTGTAATACCCCCCAAATTACATGTGCATTTACCCCTTTTATCTGGAAAGCCCTAAGAATTGATCCTAAAGAAAAACTAGTAAAAATACAAAATGACACAGGCACAAAGTTATTCATTCATGCAGCACTGTTTAGGAAGAACAAAAAATCAGAAACCACCAAATGCTCATCAATAGGAGGTAGTGTGGACTGAATTGCGCTCTCCTCAAATTTGTATGGTGAATCCTAATCTTTTAATGGCTATACCTGAACTCAGGCCATAAGAAGTAATACAGACTCAGCAGGGTCACAAGGGTGGGGTCTTTGGTAGGACTGGGAGAGGAACACAGAAGAGCTTGCACTTGCTTGCTTTGGGGCTTGCACAATCTCTTTCTCTGCTCCCTTTCTCTACTTACACAGGAGAAAGGCATGTGAGGACAGAAAGTAGAGGTGAACTACAAACCAGGAGGAGAGGCTTTACTAGAATGCAGCACTAGTGATATTTTGATCTTGAGCTTCCAGCTTCTAGAACTGCAAGAAAATACATTTCTGTTGTTTATGTCACAGTCTGTCGTAATTTATGGCAGAGCTAGAAGACTAATGCAGGAGTATTACAGCCTAAATGTTTGTGTCCCCCCATAGTTCATATGTTGAAAGGCAGGACCCTCATGACGGGATTAGTCTTTTATAAGAACAGAAACATCTGAGCCGGGGATTTAGCTCAGTGGCACTGCATCTGCCTTGCAAGCACAAGGTTCTGAGTACCATCTCTGGTACCAAAAAAGCAAAAAACATCAGACACATTGAGAGCTTGTCTCCAGTCTTTCTGTCTTGTGAACACACACAGCAAGAAGGTAGCCATTTGAAAGTAGGAAGCGTCCTCACCAAAGCCTGACCGTGCTGCTCTCCATTCCAACTCTGACTCCCAGCCTCCACAGCTGTGAGAGAATCAGTTTCTGCTGCTGAAGCTATCTAGTCTATGGCACTTTGTCATACTATGCTGAGTAGAGTAACAAAAGAGACTATTTGCATCAAGTATGGTTATCCCCACAAAAGAGTTCTGTGCAGCAGCAAAGAGGAATAAGGATCATTTCATTCTACTGTAAAATGACCCCCACAATTTGGTGATGAGTGGAAAAAGCAAAGGAGGAAGTAGCATATATAAGCAGTCAGTTTTTCTATAACAAAAGGGAAAATGTGAACATATTAAAAGATTTGCTTATCTTGTAACATTAACGTCAGAGGAATAAATCAAAAATTAATAAAAATGATTATCTATAGAGCAAAAAAGTGAAAAAGTGAATATGGCATGTACAGGGCCCTGGGTCTGATTTCCAGCACTCCCACTCTCAAAGAAGGAAACAGAGTGGAGGGAACAGCGATGAGGTAGACGTCTCTGAATGTTCCCTATTTTATAACACCAAAAGTTAAACAGAAAACCCTGGAAAATCAAAACTAAGGTAAAACAAATAAACCCACAGAATCAGTGGCTTAGTTTTTCAGAAAACTCTTTCAAGTTGACTTGAAGAAGAGGAATGCGACTGTGTATCCCTGGGTGGGTTATAGCCTAAGCCGAAAAGGGATTGAAAAGGGAACTTAAACTGTTTTCAAGTAATCGTACTGTTAGTAGCAGTATCATTACTGTTGCTTTGAAAGTATTATGTAAATGGCAGCATAAAGCAAGTAAGTGACAAAGTTAACGTCACAAGGAACCAAATTTTTCAATTTAAGAAAAAAATGGATACAGATGTAAAAATTAAAAAGTAGAAACTTTTTTTTTTTTTTTGGTACTGGGATTGAACTCTGGACCTTGCGCTTGCAAGGCAGGCGTCAGCACCACTGAGCTAAACTCCGGCCCCAAGAGTAGAAACTTTTGTCTTAACTTTGCCCTGAATATTCTTACCTTTATATTTTCCTATAGGGAAAAAAAAAAATCACATTTTCTAGCTACCCTCGCTAAAAAGACCTGGAAATCGTGACTCATCCACTAGCATTAACTGTCCTCAGCACCAAAATTGGAGTCTCTAAATAACCACTAAGATAGAGCTCCTGGGAGGAAGAGCTGATTCTAGTGCAGCAGAAGAAAATACACAAAATGGGCCTCAAACATCTTGTGTTATCAAAAGGCAAACGAAGTTGCCCAAGACTGCCGGGGTCATGGCAAAAAGACAGTGGGCAACTCACCAGAAAGGAACTAAGCAACTGAATGTAAGCATGCCAAGGACTGAAACACATCAAAAATGTTAAAAATCTGCAAGTTATGATGACACTTAACAAGGAAACACTTAAGGGGCTGGTGATATAGCTCAGTGGTAGAGCACTTGTAGATTCAATCCCTAGTAGAGGAGAAAAACAATCTAAAGGGCAAGCTAGAAAGGCAACACACACTAAAACTAACAAACAGAAAAGACCAATATTTATTCTGCCTTGCTCCCCCTATGAACTAAACTGGCTTACCAAGTAGTTACTGAGAAAAACGTATTCTTTAAAAATAAATTCTGGGAAGAAAGGAACCCTTCCCCATTGTTGGTGGGAGTGCAGACTGGTGCAACCACTGTGGAAATCAACATGGAAATACCTCAAAGAACTAGGATTAGCAGTCCCATTTGACCCAGCTATTCCTCTTCTGGATATCTTCCCAAAAGAATTAAAAGAATCATATCACAGCAATATATGCACACCCCATGTTCATAGTGGCACAGTTTGTAATAGCTAAAACTTGGAAACAGCCCATTTGCCCATCAACTGGAGACTGGATAAAGAAGATGTGGCTTTTAAAAAATAAAATGGAGTACTACTCAGCCATAAAGAATGAGAAACTGCAGACATTTATAGCTAAATAGATGCACATTGAGGCCATACTCTTAAGTGAAATAAACAGGACACATGTGTAAATACCGAATAGTTTTTCTGTTGTGAAAAACTAAAAAGTGTAAATAAGGATCAAACTGTATAACTGATAACGTGAAATATGAAGAAAAGGTCTAAAGGAGTAGGGGAAGTGGGAGGAGTAGGGGAAAGGAAAGAAGGGAAAATAAAAATATGAGAAAAGGAAAAAATGAAAACAAACTCTTTGTAAATAGGGAAGGGTGGAGGGGGTAAAGACAGGGCAGGGGAATGGGGAAAAATAAGAACCAAGATCTGTCATGTAAAGGTACAAGATCCCAGTGATGAATGTAACTGTACTGTATACCTAAAAAGTACCAATAAACAATGAAAAAAATCTGATAAATTAAAAAAATTCTATTCAATAATACTGGAAGAAATAATAGAAAATCATAGTTTTACAATACATAAAATTAATGGACTTATTTATTTATTTTTGGTACCAGGGATTGAACGTGGGTCCTTGTGCTTGCAAGGCAGGCAGCAGAACCACTGAGCTAAATCCCCGGCCCATCATCAATGGTGCTCAAATAATTAGGTAAAACACTAATGAGGAATTTAGTAATGGACAGCCAGCCAGACAGACACTGTGTGCCCTCTGATGCAGAAATGATACCATCTAGGAAGTATTTTTACCAAAGAGTAGAACCTAAATCCAAGCAAGCCTTAAGCTAATTAACAATTAACTGGAAATTCAGGAAAGATATAAAATGACACTACAGGACTCCATAAAAATGCAGAAAGTGGGAAACTGTATAAAATAAATCAGTGTATTTGACAAAAAACTACAGGGAAAAAGATGAAACATTGATATATTTAAGAAAACACAAATATATATCAAATGACTGCAATGTACATGCATCTCAAAAACTGTATAAAAATCTAGCTGAGTGTGGTGGTACATGTCTATAATCCCAACACTGCGGGAGGCTGAGGCAGGAGGATGTAAAATCAAGCCCAGGCTGGGCAACTTAGTGAGATTCTGTCCTAATAAAATGAAAATAAATTTTATAAAGGTCTAGCTTAGTGCAAAGGTTCTGGGTTCAATTCCCAGTACTTTAAAGAACAAGAACAAATAAAAAAACAGGCAAGCTGAATTAAAAATCTGCAAAAGGACTTCTGGGAAGATGGTGGGGTGGTGAGCAGCAGAGAAAGAACTTCTCCGAGACTTGGTGTCTTTACACTGGAATAAAGCAGCGTGAGGAGAAGGAGAGGGAAGTGGGTCTCCAGGACCCAGGAAGGATCTGAGGCAAGAACTGAAGTCCACAAGGAGAGTGAAGAGTGAAACTTTAATGAAGGGGAGGGAGGTCCCAAGCAGTGCTTTCTCCCAGAGCCGGGACTCTTCAAGAGGGAAGGGTGGGCCAAAACTGCAGATGCACCATGACTAATGACAACTCTAGAGCCCCATGGAGAAATGCACCAGTGGACAAACCAGACTGCAGCAGCTGGTGAGTTATCCAGATTGAGACCTCACCCAGGAGAGGGTGACTGGCTGGTGGCCATCTTGGAGAGGGGCCAGCTGAGCTGGAACTTAGAATAGCTGCTGGCAGACTCCATCTGTGGACTTCTGGTGCCTCAGTGTGGGTACCAAGTTCAACTCAGCAGAAGGTCACAGAGCAGAGTTCAAGCCGGCAGGAGACACCTAAAATGTAGGCTCAAAGAATCCGGTTCCAGTCCCACAGCCAGAAACCTGACTGAATTTCACAGGAACTAAAGGGGCAGGCTGGCTGGGATTCTCCAGTACCCCACTGTGAAGCTGCAGCTATCTTGCTGAGATTAATCAATTTGGCTCTGGACTTTGTTTGCCCACATTGTCTAACAGTGACAGAGAGACGCACCTTGAATTGGATGTTTGGGGGTTTTTATCTTTTCCTTTTTTTCCTACTTTCTAGTTCTTATTTTCTTTTGTTTAGATTTTTTCTTGATTGAACAGTTTCTAGTTTTTTGCTGTTCTGTTCTGCTCTTATTTTTATTTTTTTTCTTTTTTCTTTCTCACCTGTCTTCATCAATTTCTTAAAGTTGGTTCTCCAGCCTTGCTTCTGACCTCTTCCTCTTCTCCTATTTCTGTTTTCTAGCCCCTAACCCACTGTAAATCTTCTCCCCTAAGGGTAAATAAGCCATATTAAGGGCTACAATTTGTCATTTTCTAGACTATTTTTAATGCTATTATTATTGTTGATTGTACTACTTTAGCCAAGGTAACATAATTGTGCTAATTAGTTGTTCCTCCTTGTATACCAAGACTGAATTTTCCTAAGGGTCTTAAAAAACAACAACAACAAAAACCCTATAGGCCAGTGCCAAAGAACTGGCAGCTAGGCCAAGTAGGCCCAATAAATTGAACAGGTAGGATCCTGCAACAGACTCAAAATGTAAAAGCTAGTTCGAGGACCTGAGTTTGATCCCTGGTACCAAAAATAAACAAACAAAAAACCCAAAAGCTAGTTACACCTAGAAGACACTTCTGAGAAGTAGCCATTTTCTAAGGGTTCTGAATACTGGCAATAAAGCTACTTGCCATCAACTCAGGATCAACTTAAAAAAAAAAAAGAAAAGAAAATGAGAAAACACTTAAACAAGATGCAAGCCCCACAAACTTTCAGCTCACCCAAGGCAAACCCCAGGGGCAACGAAGTAGAACAATCTGAAAGCCACCCACCTGGACTATGAGGTGGTAACAGAAGTAACAAAGCAGATGAAGGAGGCTCTAGCAAAAAAATCTAAGCAGAAACAATTTCCCAGATAACTACAGAGATGGTGACCAGAATGAAAGATACAGATAAAGAGATAGAGGAGCTCAGGAATGTGATGGAAGCCATGAACACCCAGCACAGGAAAGAAATGGAATCCATGAAACAGAGGGGAAGGAGGAGGCGCAGAAGGCTATCTGGATTCAAACAGATATGCAGATTAAAAACTCCACTGGGGGCTGGGGATTTAGCTCAGTGGTTCTGCTGCCTGCCTCCCAAGCACAAGGACCTGAGTTTGATCCCCAGTACCAAAAAAACAAAACCAAATAAACAAAAACTCCATTGAACTTCATCACCCAGCTAAAACACAGTTGAACCATACAGATATATTTACAGATGAAGAAACATGAGGCCTTCGATTTACCGCAGCTTGGGGCTGGGACACAGACAAAATAAGATTGGTTACGAGTTGATCAGTGTTTTAGCTGGGTAATGGATACACTAGAGGATTTCTTCTATCTTTTTATATGTTTGAAATTTTCTAAAAGAATATTCTTTTGTAGTATATGTGCTGCTGAAGAGAGCACTAAAAGAACATTTTTAATGAATGATAATGGATGAGCTGAAACATGTCAACCTCTGAGTTTGTCACAATACTTAAGAAAATACTCAGGTGCCTATAAAGCAGTTTCTCAGCCTCAGTACTACTGGCATTTAGATCCAGATGGTTCTCTGTTGTGGGGCTGCTGTGCACACTAGAATACCTACCTGTACCTCTAGCCTCTCACTGGATGCTAGTGCCACACCCTCTTTAGTTGTGACAACCCAAAATGCCTCCAGATGTTTTTTACCCTCTAGGAGTACCTCCCCCAATCAAATGAGAAATTCTGTTTTGATGATGCCAGAGAAGCAACTCAAAATTCCATGAACTGTCAAACAGAGCCAATTCTCATTATTCATAGTAATTATGTCCTATAAAGTTGTGAGAAAAAGTGAAACACTGAATTTTTAATTAACAGAAAGTAATGGCTTAGGTTCTTACAACTTTATCATTATATACTTTTATCAAATATATAACTCTGCTTTACGTGTTTTTGTTTAAAACACTTTCTTTACATTGTTTAACGTGTAGTCAGCAGCAATATAATGCATACCTACACAAAGCCTATCTAACATGCTTTCTCTGTAAGGTACCTCAATGCCTTCTTGCACTTAGGCAACCTGTACAGCACTTTCACACCATTTGTGGGGGCCCTTTTAAACTATAAAACCAGCAAACAGCTTAAAAATGTAAAAATTCATGGCACTAAATGGACTATGAAAAGGACACTGTTGTGGCTTTTTTCTAGATGTTCCCTTGAAGCCTCCTGTGCTCATAGGTAGAGCTTTTTGGAGGTAGTCGGATCTAGGGTGCATGAATGAGGAGTAAGTGTGAATATGGTCTAAGGGTTTGACAACTAAAGTGGTCAACTGATTGGTTTAGCATAGTTCTGGGTGAGGACAATGGGAAGGCCAACCCTGGGTGTGGGTGGTACCACCCAAAAGGCTTTATAGCCTAAATGGATGATAGGGAAAGGGAGGCTTGCTGCTGTTGCTTCACTGCATGTTGCTTTCTGACTGCTCTGCCATGGTCTGCTTCTCCTCTATGATGCCCCTTTGCCATGCCACCCTGTCTTGGAGCCAGCTGACTATGGACTGACCTCTACAAATTGTGAGCTGAAATGAAATTTTCCTCCTCCAACTTGTGGGTGTCAAGTATTTTGTCTCAGTAACAAGAAAGTAACTCAGTTACTGTAAGATGAGAGCTAAACTGAGATAGAGCATTCCCTCTGCTTTAGTCTCTCTGAGAATAGAGGCAAAGAGTTGGCTCCTTCTTTTCCCCAGCTCTGGATATGTCCATGAACGCTGTGGAAGCACCATGATTATTGATTTGGGTGTTACAGAAACATTTCAGGGAGTGCATGATTTTGTAAATTTGGAATCCATATGAGTAGGATTGGCCTGTATAGGTGAAAAATCATTACTTATTCTGTCTTGTATAAACTGTAGCTCAGGTTTAAGAATCAATTGATGAGAAAAATATATTCTATACAACAAAGTGTCACTTAATAAACAGAGGAGGAATGAGAGATTTAGAATGTCACTATTTTGCAGCCTTATTGGAATAAAGGATATAGCCAATACAGTGAACCCTTGACTTACAAACTCAGTTCATTCACAAGGGCTGGTTCTAGCTCAAGTTGGTCAACTGAAGGCTCAGGCTCTTCTACACAGCCTTCTAAATCTCTCCCCTGTATACAGGCAGATCTCAGTGTTCTTAAAACATTGACCGAGGATTCCTCAACTATAACCCCACACAGGAAAGGATGTTGTCATATTCCTTTCAGAACTCTTTAAGGGTTAAATCTGTATCTAAGACCATCTGGAAGCCCAAGGAGGTCTAGCATTTGGATCAACTTGACTTTGTAAGTTAAAACTAAAATTCTGGTCATAACCCCAGTTGTTTATATGTCAGGCTGGACATAAGAGTCCACTGTAATCATCAATGGTTGTTGGTACCAGTCAGTGAGAGGCCAAGTGGATTTATGCTGGATGAATCTGGCTATCAACACAAGAACCAAGTGATTACTTTTTATGGCATAAAAACAAAGCCAAAATTTCATGCCTCCTATTGTGATAAATGTGGATGCACAAAATATCATCTATGAAGAATTCTCACCAAAGATAGCACAACGAACTCCAAGGAAAGCCTAGAAAGGGACAACTGTCTGCCATGTGTGCACAGCACATGGAGGACATATTAAGTAGAAAGACCTTGGGAGGCGTCCATTAGAAACAGGAGAGGTAAGGAGGCTCTAAACTACTTCCTAAGTGAAAATACAGGAAAATGGGCAATTGTCGGATAAAGGAATAAATGGCAGCAGTGAGGACAAGAGAGACAGCTATATTTGCATTACCAAAATGCTCAGTATTTTTAGATAATACTCCTTTCACCTGCAAAAACCTCTTTAAAATGATCATTAGAAAAATAACAACAAACTAAGAAATCACAAAGAGATTGCTTTGGGGATTGGGACAGAGTTAAAAGCAAGGACAGGGGAGTTATACAAGGTATTATGTAACTTCTTTCAGTGTGAACCATTTGTATGGGATGATCAGACATTAATGAGGAAAAGCCACACAAATTCAGACAAAACTACACAAGTTCTATAAAGCATTTAGAATGCTTTAGTGCAAAGTATGTTCTGACTAAAAGGCTCCATAAAATACAGCCGATCCCAAATGAAACTATTAGTTGTAATTACCTTGCTTGAGGGTTGGAGACTGCAGCATCTGCTTGTAGTAGGAGTAATATAATCCACATTCTGTTCTGAATGAGATTTCTCGTTCCACTTCCTGAAACAAAGTTAGATCTACTGGGTTTAGAGGACTTAATTTTATTTCAATATGTATTGTCACTGTAGAAACAGGATACAGAACTACAGTTTAAAAGAGAAAAAGCCAACAAGTACAGTTTACAGTTTCAAGAATATAGTCTCAAGAAATCTTTCCTTTTTCTTTTGTTTTTTATCATTTCTTTTTGGTTTTGTGAGGCAGACATTGGTATGTAGTTCAGCCTGTCCTTGAACTCACTACGTAGTGATCCTTGTTGAGATGATCCGCCTGCTTCAGCCTCTTGAACACTGGGAATGCAGGTATGTGCTACCATTCTATTTTTGTGAATGTTTATTTTCCATAATAAACAATTTCTTAAAAAGTGGAAATAATTAGTAACTAGTTCCATTTAAGTTGTTTTAAAGTGAATGTTTTGCTTTATTTCACAGAAAACTAATTTTAAGAAATTAAAAAACATCACTATTCACAAGTAATATTAGTGATATGCCAAAGAGGCACATTATAAATGAAAAACCTGCCAAATGAAAAGAACTATGATTGCATTAGATACCTGTATAAAGGCTAGCAACATTAGTGGTCGATACTTTTCTTTTTATTCTAAGAATATAAAGCATTTAGACCTTCTACATGAATTTTACTTCAACCAGTGTAACCATGTTAGAAAGATGTTCATGTGGGTAAATGGATACATGAAATAGTTCTTTCTTTTCTTTTCTTTTTGTACTGGAGATCAAACTCGGGACCCTGTACTTGTGAGGCGAATCACTGAGCCAAATCCCTGGCCCTTACACGAAATATTTCAACTGCTTTTGGATAAGAACTAAACACTTAAAAGTAATGGCTATGAGTCAATTTGTTGCAAGATGCTTTTATTAACTCAAAATAAGGAGGCATTGAGTAAAGAAGATGAAGGGGATTTTCTGGAAGAATCCTGCTCATACTTAGATGGTATATTTGATACACATGTAAACATATTAGTGAACAAAAAGCTATAATCTTTGTCATGATAGATTCTTTTATCCAAGTCTTCCCAGAAACCAGGTCCTAGAATCTCTAGCACACTGTCTAAATGTAATCTCATCTATGCCTTCTTCCGATCACAGCAGATCCACACTCCATAAGCACAAATGAACTGAGGGAGGACGATAAACGCGGAGCATCCCACTTCTGAACCAATGAACTTCTTTTAGCGCATCTTTGTTTCCCCCTTCATCTCATGGTTTTCAAATGGTGATAAATATTTCATTAAAAGAACTACTCATGCTATTCCTCTTCAGTCCTGAAAATTATTTCAGGTATTTCCCCTATCCTTTAAATATTCTCCTGTCCTTTAAAGACATTATAAATTAATTCACAAAGAAAGCACTGAAGAAATACTCTCTTAATTATTTGAAAGTGTAAACATCCAATTACTGGCTCCAAAAAACAAACTATTAGGTTGTATCACTATTAACTCACTCCTACTAGAAACATGAGAGGGGAGGAGTGAGACAGAAAACTTTTTTATATATTGAATTTCCTTTTACAAAAAATAAATTTATCTTGGGGAATTAAGCATTAAAAAAGGCCCTTGAGGTTCTGAAATTTAATTAGCACACTTGCTTTTAAAAAGAACAACACAGGATAAGGCAGCTTTTCTAGTTTCCATAGTTGCTACTGATATGTGTTTTCTTTTACAGGAATAAAGGCAGCTTTTCTTAGTAGTTATGTTACCTCCAGTCATCTCTAATCTTGGAAAAAAAACTGCTCTATTGCTTCTTATAGAAAAAATCCAAATTGGCATCAGTTCTGGTATGTTCAACTCCCTATTTGGTCATATAATCATATGGGCCATGAAGTGATGTTAAGCAAGCAGTCATTAGCTTTTGTCAATGAAAATGAAAGGGAAAAACAGCTTCCAGTTTAATTTGCTTTTCTCCCTTCACCTTGACTGTCTTAAAATGTTCACAGTACTAATACTGCCTTCAATGGAATAGCCTCACATCAAACCTGGAGCTCCAGCTGCAGAATCGAATTATTCTTTTCCATCTATGGGCTTCACTTCCTATATAGTTCTAAGAATAAAACAAAACAGCCTTATAAAGATGAGGGGAAAAAACTTTGCTTAAAGTTCTAAAAGTAGAAAGCTTCTGTGCCCCACCCCTCTCTCAATACATGCAACACACACACACACACACACACACACACACACACACCCAAACAGAGGGGGATCTAATTAGTAAAAATGCATTCAAACATGATTAATTGGCAATCTTGGCACCAGCTGTATAGAACCAAATGCTATACTTTATTAGACAGAAAGTTGCAAGTTTTACATCTGTTCATGCTAAGAGAACATCTGCTTTACTCAAACACTTTTCCAGTTTTACAGCAATTTATACTTTGCCTGGTGGATCACACCAATGAAAATGTACACCAATAGAAGTTACCCTCTACAGAATGCAAAACGAACAAATACTCCACAATTTAATTTGCATAAGTTTAACGGGAAAGCAGCATTTGTGGAAAGAATGAAAACATCTCTGAAGATAATGACAGGAAAAAAGTAGAAAGACAAAAGAACTGTTATTTCTAAAGAACTGTGCAGATAAAACCATTTAACTAGTAGTTTATATAGTAATTTAATATAAGTACTAAAAGGACAGCATCAAGGAAAAAAAAAGGGAAGGGGGGGCTGTTCACAGTTAATGATTTGTGTCCCTCACAGGTATTTAGGCAAGTTGCGGGCAATGCACCAAAGGTTAACAAGCCCTTTTAGGAAAATGACACCCAATGTGGAAAGGAAATGCATCAAATTAGCCTTTAAAATCTCATGCATATAACTCCTGTTTAAAAAAAATTGTCCCCCCAAATAATTAGCCTGCTGGTGGCAGGGTATCCAATGTGCGATTAACTTTATGAATGCTATCTGTTTCAGAATTATGTTAACAAATCATCTCACCAAGCAACAGTAGCTCATGATAAGACAGCTGTTCTAAGAGTTCTGTACTGGGAATCATGCCCTCAGCAAACATATTTATGGCACATACATGGTTTATTGTCTGGTTAAATTCATGTCCATCTGTTAGAATGGAAGGATTCTTGCCCTAGAGTTGATAAGAGCCGTGACACGAGAGCTGCCAGGCGCTGTCTGTGAGGCAGGAAGGCTGCAGCTGAAGTGACAATACTTCCACTAAGCTTGCGCTGAAGCAGGCAGTGGCCTTGTGCTACTGAGGCGACTACTGTGTGCATTAACCCTACTTATTCCACGGAGTCCTTGCTTTGCAGGAGTATTCTATAGGAAGATATGCACATTGCACAATGTCAAATAAATAACAAGGTAACAGCGCAAAACATTAGCACAAGGAGAAAGACTAGGAAGAAACTAGTGAATGTTTCTAGAAAATGACAATTACCTTTCTCCATCATTTAACTGAACATTTATTGGCTGGAGAAACAAAAAGAGGTAAAAGTTGAGACTCTGACCCCAAGGATTTTATGCCCTAATAACAAAGAACAATGCAATTTGGTGTGGTAACACATACCGGTAATCCCAGCACTCTTGGAGGCTGAGGCTCGGGGATTGTATATTCCAACCCAGCCTGGGTAATTTAGCAATTTAGGGAGACTCTTTCAAAATAAAAAAATACTGGGAACATAGTGCCCAGTGTGAAGGCCCTGAGTTTAGTCCCCAGTACTCAAACAATACAGAAACACACGCATGTGCGCGTGTGCACACAGATATAGATGAAGAGGGAGAGAATTCACTGCAAACAAAGGAAATGACTGAGGAAATGTAGGTATCAAAGGTAGAGAATGAATCACCTTTGGATTCTTTCTTCAACCTACCATCCCCATTTCATTCATTCATTCATTCAATAAATGCCTATTGACCCCCATTAAGTGATGAGCATTTTTCTGATGCCTACAGTAGAAAAATATCTGCCTTCATCAAATTTATAATTTAAGAGTACAGGGAGAAGCGAGCAAGTAAATAAGCAAAATCCTTACTATGTAAAAACAGTTTTAAGTAATGCAGAAAAAAGTACAGCAGAGAAGGACTGGGAGGACAGCAAGGGCAGGTGCTGTGACTGGAAAGGCTCCACTGGTGAAGTGGAAACTGAACAGAAACCAGAAGAAGCAAGGCAGGGAGCCAGGCAGATGCCTGGGGGAAAGAACCTGCCAGTCAGAGCAATCCACAGGGACCTGGAACAGGAGGGCAGCAGGGTGGCCAACGGGGAAACAGCAGAGTGGTTAATAAAGTCCGGGAGGTGGCCAGGCAGGAAGAGACAGACCACTCAGTCCTAGTAGGTGATGAGAACTCTGGGTTATATTTGAGAGCTAGCAGGGGTGGAGGAGAAAGGATGTGGGAGTTTGTTTGAGACCTGCTACATTTGAATATGAGCTGTTTTAAGCAGAGATATGCACTGATGGAGACTTTTAAGTCTCCATGGGCTGTTGTGTTCAGAATAGATGATCTGGAACCACAGGAGAGTAGAGAAACCAGAAAGGGGGCGGCTGGAACAATCCAGTAGAGAGAAAGGTGGAGATTGAGAGATGATCAGACAGACGGTGGATCTTGTAAAAGTAAAGCTGAGAGGATCTGCTGAGACTTTATGTGGGGGTTTGAGAGATCTAAGAATCTTCAAGGTTTCTGGCATGAGCCACCAAAGGATGAAGTAGCAAGTTAGAGATGGAGAAACTTAAGGAGAGCTGGTGGCTTGACTTTGTTATCTGTGGAATCTCTAATGTCTACAAGACATCCAAACAAAGGTGGCCATGTGGCTGGATATAAAGGTCTGGAGTGCAGAGTTGAAGTAGGAATCTATATTTGAGAGTCACCAGCAAAGCACTTAACATTGGGGAGGAATATTCTTGGAAATGAGGACAGACAGAAAAATTTTGGGGTTTTCTGCCAAAAAAAAAAAAAAAAAAAAGC